GTTCATTTTTTTGTTCTGTGAGCAAGTGAGACAGAGAGAGACAGAGATTGCACTCCCAGTAGGGTTCTGATGCCGTGACTCATCCCCAGTCAGCCCAGACCACAGATGTATGTGTGTTCATATACTCAGAGAGGTCTCTGGATGTGAATTTATAATCTTTCCATGTGGGTCTGCTTTGCAAAGTATCGCATTTTACCACTGTACCATGGTTCAGTCTCAGTTGTGCCCATTTTAAAATATTTTCTCATTTTAAAAGATCTTATTCATGTTTATTTCCTCTACTAGATTTTAAGTCTCAAGAGAAGTCACCAAGCCCATGGTTGCCTATCATGGTTACCATGGATGACAAGGAGTTAACATTTGATTCAAAAGAGAGCCTAAAAATGACCACCATTTTCCTAAGGTTTCTAGGAAGCCAGCAGACTCACAAATTTTCCATTCCAACCAGGGAATGTAGTAGCAAAGTTCTTTTTTTTCCTCCTTCCATTTTACCTGTTGCCTAGTACAATCCTTGAAACACAGTAAGAACATAACAAATACTTGTTGAAAAAAAATGGAAAGAAATTAAAGAGAGATGGTAATGTCTTCCAGGACTGAAGCCTCTAAAGAAATGATCAATCTTGGTGATTTAGCCAAGATCATTCTCAATCAAATTAATTAACAGGCATCATTTCTCATAAATCAAGCTGTCAGATACTGATATCCTGAAAAACTCTTAAGTTAAGGACAAGGCTCTGACCTGTGGTAACACTGCTGAGGGACAAGCTGAACCTCAGAGAGGAAGCCAAATTAATTTACAACTGGCTGTACTTTTCAGCATATTATCCTTCATAAACCATCCCATATTTTGGAAACCCAAAGCATATGTTCTGCCCTATCCTTGTTTTTCTTCAAACCTTAAAAAAGGCCATGGGTAGGGAAGGTAGTGGGGAGGGGGGGATCCTAAGCATCTTGTGACCATTACTTTTACTTCATTGAATTTGCCCTGACCTGGGTGTTCTGGAGGTATGTGCGCTCCTCCCACTTCAATATCGTAAGTTTAGAGACACTGAACTCTAATACTCTGCTGATTCTGTTGACTGATAAGATAATGTTTTCTTGTAATCCTCAAATAATCTACATAGAAACCAGATCCTGTCTTGGAGGTAGAAAGTCTACACTGATTTTTGGTTTATGCATGCTTTCTTTTTAACTTATATACTCCAAGCTTGGGCTTCCTGACAGCAGGGATCACTTAGGGACGAGTGGCCTTTAGTACATGCTGTTCTGCTCCGCTCTACATAAGGAAATAAACTCATATTTTCCCTGCTGGAAATGGACAAGCATTACAGGCAAGCCCTCACAGATTTGCAGCTCCCACTGTGCCTTACAATAGCATAATAATAGAGTTCATAGATCTAATTGAACACACGTAAATACATTCTATGGGAAGGACGTTTAGAGTTCTAACTCAGGATGTTAAGAATATATCTTGGTGCTTGCAAGTGGTGTGGTGAATAAAGGCGCTGGATTACCACATGGGCAACGGTGGTTCGAGTCTGGGACCTGGTGGCTTGCTTTCTCACTTTCTCTCTTTCACTGTCTCTCTCTTGTTCTGTCCCTCTTTACTCAAGTGAAAAATAAATAAAGTTAAATAAAATAATTCTTTAAAAAAATATAACAAATAGGTAAGTAAAGAAATGAAAAACAAAACCCTCAAAGGTCCTTCTCAAGCTTTGATAACTTTTTTCCCTATGTGAGCGTCCATATACCAGTTTACCTTTCTAGTAATTCTTCCAATTACTTTCTTTTTTTTTTTTTCCCTACCAGAAGCCCCATGGGCATGGTATGCAACACTACAGTCTAGAGTCACTGAAGCAAACATAGAATTCTTATCACATCTCCAGATTATTTGTTTGCTATTAAAGGACATCCTCTAATGTATTTGTCTTTCTAACTTTTATTGTTTCCTCTTTTTCTTCTCTACCCTTTTATCTTCCTCTTGCCTTTTCTTTTAAAATATGAACTACATAATAGGAGAGCAAACCACTAGTAAAGAATCTAAAGAATCACCTATATTTCAAAGTCAAATTAGAACAGAACACTCTGGGGCAATTCCAACCAATGGTTAAAAAAGATAAGGAATTCAAGCATGAATTCCTTTGGGGCAGAAGAAACTGCAAGGATAAGAAGAAAGAAAAGTTATAGCAGGAACTTCCTCTTCACTTAATTTTTTTCTAACTCAACCCTTCTAGATACTAGTCTAGATTATTGAAAATTCAGTGACAGTAAAGAGCAATGTAGGGAACCAGCAATTAGCGTAATGGCTGTGTCTCTGGACTCTAACATAGTCGACCACGGTTCGCGTCCCAGACCTGGTGGCTTGAAACTCACGCCGGGCGCGTGTGTGTGTGTGTGTGTGTGTGTGTGTGTGTGTGTG